CACACACACACACACACACACACACACAATGAATGGATGTTAAAAAAAGAAACTCTCCTACCAATTTGATTTGAAACTGTCTCATCACTATTTGTTTCTCAATAAAATTTATGGAAAAAAAATTTTAAAAAGTCACTCATTAGTATTCAGTGTGGCAGTGGTTACAAGCCAGTGAGTAAAGAATCATCAATAATAAGAAAAACAAGGGCCAGTGAGATAACTCAGTGGACTGAGCACCTGCTTAGGCATGTGCAGAGACCAGGGTTTGATGTCTGGCACCACATGCAGCACTGACCCGCCCCTGAATGCACTGAGCCAGTCACTGAGTCTGGGCGCATACCTGTAATCCCAGCACTGGGGAAGTTGAAAACAGGAAGATCATTGTGAGTCTAAGCTGCATAGTGAGACTTTACCAAATACATAATTTTTTTTTTCAAAAAAATGATTTGTGCACAAGTAATAAAATAATTTATCACTTCGTAAAAATAAATAAATAAAATAAAGAACACTAACCTCCTTTACATTTTGGGTTCTGCTTCTGTCCATGTAACCAAAGGGTGTGATTCCTTTGGGGAGCGTTGCAGGGAATATAGACCTGTCAAGTCCTGAGATCCTGCTGCCATTGATCCTGTTGGTGTATTTTCAGATCTTGGTTTTCTAGGTGCCATGCTTGATTTTTGTCACTGTTTGTTCTATATGATAGACTTTTGATCCATTCTTTATAAACTATTGTCTGAGTCACTTATTTGGCACTTATCACCTTGTTTAAGAAATCTATTAAACAGACCTTTATTTTATATTACTGTTTGATGTTGGACATTCAAAGGTGAACTGGATCAAGTTCCAACCCACACATATCTGGTCTAGTTCAGAGAGTGTGAAGAAATAGCTAAGCAGAAGAAGCCCAGTGAGCTAGCCAAAGTGCCGTTTAGTTTGGATACCCTCCAATGCAAGTTACCTGCCTGAGTCTTCAGAGCACTGAATTTTCATTCTGGGCTGTACCTTGGCTCACATCCTGCCTTAAGTTGGGAAGACAACCTCTGGGAAAGAGATTGTAAAAGATATGCCTAAGTGTAGGCTTAAAGGGTAGGATGGTAACTAACTCCACCCTTGAAAAATAAAAGCACTAGGGTAGGGCTGGCAAGATAGCTCAGTGGACTAAGTGCCTGCTTAGGCAAACATAGGGACCATGCTGGCGCTGGCCCCGCCCCCGGACATGCTGAGCCAGGTTCACTACAAGTCCAAGCTGCGTGGTGAGACCCTGTAACAACCAAATACATTGAAGGAAAAAAAAAGCACTAGGTGAACTTACATTTTCTGGTTTAGAAGGGAGTGAGGAAGGAGTCTGGAAATCACAATAACATCTTTTTCCTATCACATTATTTCTGTTAGTCTATATCCTAGTAGAGATTAGCAGAACTACTACATAAACAAAATATATATTCTTTTCTTGAGATTAGCAAAATAGGAATGATGGGATGGCTACCTTTCTTCAACCAAGATCTAATGGAGAGGACCACAGAGGCTTTAATGTCAGTTGGAAGCAGAGAAGAGAGGAAATGGTTTGCTTCCCTAGAGTGTGTTCTATAGAAAGAAGAGTAGAAAATCCCAGGCACTGTTTTGGGGGTGGGATGGGGGTGCTGGCCGAGACAGCATCATCAGGCTATCTGTAAACGTATGTGGAAGTTCAGAAGAGGGGAACCGGACATAGCCTGTACTGGGAGATGTTTCTAAGAGAAATTGAGTCCTGCAGGACAGTTAACTAGGGGAGGAGGCAGAGCATAACTGAGTAGTGAGATTGAGAAACGGCATTTAGATTAATACAACTGGAGTGAAAGGAATTTGTGGGGAACAGGCAGGAGATACTTTTGGAGCTTGTGGACAGAATAAGGTCTTTGCACCATACTGAGGCATCAGTGCCTGTGTAGCCTCGTCTTCTTCCTCCTCCCTGCTCTTCCTCCTCCTCTTCCTCCCCTCCCCTCCTCTCTCCTCCTCAGTGAGGTCCTTGGGGACAGGCACACTACTAGATTTGGTAAGTAGATTTAGTAAATGTAATTTTTAGCCACCAGGGCTTGTGTACTAGGCAAGGGTCCTTTTGAAAAGGAAAACAAACAACATAGGTTTAATAGAGAGGAGGGTGTCTTTAAGCACAGGCAGTGATCTGCCAGAAGTTCAAGGAGTCTGAACAAAGTCAGAAGGTAGCAGCATTAGTGACAGCCAACTCCACCCTCTCTCCTTTCCAGCACCATCCTCTTTCCCTCCATTTTTTAAATTTATTTATTTGTTTGTTTTATTTTCCCATGTCTTGACTCCCTCATTGCTTTTATTGTGTGGTTCCTCTATAGCTGTCCAATGTCCTAAGTCTATGGTCTTTTCTCTGCCTCAGTGAAATGCTGTGGGAGAAATCTCATATTTTGAGCAAGGCCATGAGGCATAGATCACTGGTCAAGCTGGACTACTTCTGCTTTAGGTAATAAGTTAAACCCAGAAAGATTATTCTGGAGAAAATCCATGATGAGTGAATGGTCCAACTCAGTATTTGATTTTTTCTTTCATTTAATTTAATGTTTATTTGCTATCCTTTTGTCCTGAGTGCCAGGGCTGTTGAGATGATATAAGACAGTGCTCCGAGGGAACCCACTGCCCAGTAGAAAAGCACAGGGGAAGCATGGCATCTCATCTGAGGCTGCAGGGTAGTGTTTGTGAGTGGCCCCCATGTGGGAATACAGGCTGCTGGGGGAGTCAGATTCTACAGGAACTTACATGTCATTGTACTTTGTCCTGGAGAATGGGCATCAAAAGAACAGGGACCGTCAAGTGTCTTGAGGATAAAGTGAAATCATCAGACTTAACTTTTTTTTTTGGGGGGGGGCAGAACCGGGGATTGAACTCAGGCCTTTGTGCTTGCAAGGCAAGCACTTATTCCACTGAGCTATCTCCCCGGCCCCTGACTTAACATATAGAAAGGTAATGATGGTGACAGGTGGAGGATGGGTACAGAGCAGAGATTTGTGTTAGGGAACCTGTTTCAGGACTTATCATAATTAAGGTAACAGAAGAACACCTGAGCATAACACTGGGGAAGGCTGGAGGAGGTTGGTTGGCAGATATAGATGGGTACATTTTTAACCTTTATTCATAGTGTTACAGAGGTTAGTACATAAACTTCTCATTATTGACTTTTTAGCAAAGAAAATGATTCTGTAAGCTGTTTTGAGGGCTGGGGAGATAGCTCAGTAGAATAAGCACCTGCCTGGCTGCAAGCGCAGGGTCCTGAGTTCAACCCCAATACCACAAAAAATAAATAAATAAGCTGTTCTGTTGTATGGCTTGTTAGAAAATCAAAAGACAGTATTCACAGGTTAGCTGGTGAGCATTTCATTTTATTAGCCTCCTAGTTTGTGTCTCTAGATTCTTTTGTCCTCTCAGTTGCATCTCATGGGCCGATGTTTTGAGCGACTTTAGGTTCCATAGTTTGTATGACCTTGGGGCTTTGTTAGGTACCAGGAATCAACTTGGTCATGAAGTAACACTTTTTCTATGCCATCCAGCTTGAAAGATGATGACAGTGGAGACCATGATCAGAATGAAGAAAACAGCACACAGAAAGATGGTGAGAAGGAAAAAACAGAACGAGACAAGAGTCAGAGCAGCAGCAAGAGGAAGGTGTGTTTTGTACTTAAAACAATCTGTTCATCTGGAAGATACCAGGTTAAACTTGATGGTGTCCTGTTTATAGTATCTGGGTTTGTTTTGTTTTGTTGAAACAGTCTCACTCTGTAGTATAAGCCCGGGTAGGCTTCAAACTCATGGTGGTCCTCCTGTCTCAGTCTTCTAAGTGCTGGGATTACAGGCATGCACTATCACACTTGGCTGTTTGTTTGTTTGTTTTTTAATGATTTTGTAATCCCTGGAGTTCATTATGGGATGGAAAAGAAAAAATTTAGAGAATGAAATACAGGTAAATTGGTTTTTCCCTTAAGACATCATTGATGGAAATCAGTATTTCTTCTAAAATACTGAGTACTCTAGAGGCGCCAGCATTTTTTTGCTAAGTGCTAAGAAGACCCACAGGTGAATGTGCCTTCAGGTCAAGGACTTTAAGAATAGCTGTAGCAACAGCTGCTGACATTTATTGAGCACTTACTCTGTGCCAGGCACGAGGCACTGTACATCTACAGATTTACTTGATCCTCTCAGCAACCCTTTGGGGTGGTTATTATTCTTCCTGTTTTGCAGGCAAAAAGCTGAGGCATAAGCAGGGCAAGCAGCCTGCTACTCATAAGTGATAAAGAGCATCACAAAGACGGCAGTGGTTGGGCTGCCTGGGAAAATGCTGAAAATAAGGTGGAAACATAAATGCCTATGATATGTGAGGCAGTGAGGTGGGGCTTGTCCTGGGAGGCCGAGGGAGGAAGACTGCAAGTTTGAGTCCAGCCTGGATACTTGGCAACCATCTCAGAATTTAAAAATGGGCTGAGAATGTAGCTCAGGGTGAAGACTGGATCAAATCCCCAGTGCATGGGGCTGGTGAGATGGCTCAGTGGTCTAAAGCACCTATTTAAAAAAACAAGCTTAGCAAAGCACAGGGACCGTGGTTCAATCCCCCAGCACCACATGCCAGCCAGCCCCCGCCCCCTGGTGGGCTGAGCTGAGCTGGCCACACACACACACACACACACACACGCATAAATAAAATAAAAAAAAAAAAACAAAAATCCCCAGTGCAATGCGCGCACACACGCACACACACACACACACACAAATACAAATGTTAAACTGATGGGCTGGCCAGATAGCCTAACAGATTAAAGCACCTGTAAGCAGGCACAGGGGCCAGGGATTCGATCCCTGGGCATGCCGTGCCACCCCCGCCCCCAGGACTCACTGAGGCCAGATTGAGACTAGGTGTGGTGACGCACACCTGTAATCCCAGTGCTTGGGAGGCTGAAAACAGGAGAATCATTATGAGTCCAATCTATGTAGTGGGACCCTGTAGACCCTGTACTAAATACACCCCACCAAAAAAAAAGTAAAAATAATGCCTAATAGTATGAGGTAAAAAGCTATAAAAGTCATAAGAACACAGATAAAGTGCCCTAGGAGTTTAGAATTATTTAACACACTAAGGAAATTGCCTTTGAGCAGACTCTAGTGCAGTGCAAGTAACCGAAGTTGTATTGTAATTGTGGAAGTGATAAAGATGTGACAGTGAAATATTGCTCAGTCTCAGAGCATGTAACAAGTGCCCAAGACTTCACCTAGCTTCTTTGTTTCCCAGGCTGTTGTCCCTGGACCGGCAGAACATCCCTTGCAGTACAACTACACTTTCTGGTACTCCAGGAGAACCCCAGGCCGTCCCACCAGCTCACAGAGCTATGAACAGAATATCAAGCAGATCGGCACCTTTGCCTCTGTGAGTACTTGGGGCAGAGAGGAGTAACAGAGTGTGTGCTGGTAGAATACTCCTGCCTGTGTTTAGCAACCTCCTTAACACTGTTTTCTTACTGGTCAGATTTGTTCATTCCTAGGTTTCTCATCAGATGTCCATAGTTAATAAGTAAATAACAAATATGAGAGTAGTGGTTTTGAACAGAAGGACATGTACATGAATGATGTGTAACTGTTTTCTAAGTAGATAGTCTTTTGTTTTGTTTTGGCTTTTTGTTTTTTTGTGGTTTTTTTGGTGGAACCAGGGAATGAACTCAGGCCCTTGTACTTGCCAGGGAAGTGCTTTAGATAGTCTTAATGTACAGAGTCACATAGGGGATACAGAACATGAAGTTGGACAGTAAAGTTGAAAGCAAAGTTTGGAATTTTTTTTTTTTTTATTTAAGAGTTTCCCATTAAGATTTTGGCTATGATAGTGATTATGCATAAAGTAGAATCAATTTTCTATGTGCAGAAAGAAAACGAAATCTCTAATAATTGCTTTTATGGTTGCCATCATACAAAGTGTTCGGCTTTAGCTCATCTCCCGCAAGTGACTAATTTGTGAACCTAGAGACTATGACTACAGGTGACACCATTCTTGTTTGATAAAGATCATTACTCACCTTTGTGTGCTGTACATTCTCTCGAACTTATTAAGATTTTGTCTTTTTTTTTTTTTTTTTTTTTGGTGGAATCGGGGGTTGAACTCAGGCCCTTGCACTTGCCAGGGAAGCACTTATTGTACTGAGCCATATCCCTGGCCCTAAAGATTTTGTCTTGTTTGAAATACAAAATCTAGAAAAGAATGCAGTACTAAAATTACAGATACTGCAGTAAGCTAATAAGCTGAGGCAAGAGAGTTGCTGTGAGTTTGAGGCCAGCCTGGGCTACAAAGGGAGTTCACAGTCAGCCTGAACTGGATAGCAAAACCCTGTCTCAAAAATCAATAACAGCAGGAAATGACTCTCAATATTAAGTTCCTTACAGAGAAGCAAGCTGAGAGGCTAAGTTTGCAAAACCTTTTTCACATCCAAAGTAGCGTTTTCCAATGGTTCTTAATCCAAGGATTGAGTATTGTTTAAAGGTTCTGGAAATCAGGGTCTCTCAAGAAGACAGTGTCCTGGGCCAGCCAGATAGCTCAGCAGACTAAAACTTCTGCTTAGGCAGGTGCAACAACCAGGGTTCTAGGGTTCAATCCCTGGCCTGCCTTGCCAGCCCCGCCCCCAGGGTGCGCTGAGACTAGGCTTGGTGGTGCACGTCTGTAATCCCTCACTTGGGAATCTGAAAACAGAAGGATTACTACACAGCTGATCTATGTTGTGAGACCTTGTAGGCCCTGTACTAACATACAGAAGAAGAAGGGGGAGAGGGAGAGAGAGGCGGAGGAGGAGGAAAAGGAGGAGGAGGAGGAGTGGCGGCGATGACGACAGTGTCCTGAATGGGAAAGGGCAACTGGACTGGTCTGCCCAGTGCTGCTCTTTCCTGGTGCTTGGCTCTGTGCTGGACCAGCATGATGAGTTTATAGAAAATGGTGCCTATCTTCCTGAAGTTGGACAGTAAAGTTGAAAGCAAAGTTTGGAATTTTCTTTTTTATTTAAGAGTTTCCCAACTCTTATAATGTATAAGTGAGCATACATTTAAGAATAAAAGAGAAGTCTAGTTTTCTAACAGTTTGAAGGAAGAGCAAGGAGAAAAATAAGTTTTCCAAGGAGAAAGATTTAAGCTGGGCACAGTGGTGTACACCTGTAATCCCAGGACTCAAGGCTGAGGCAGAAGAATTGCTGTAAATTCAAGGCCAGTCTGAACCACAAAGGGAGACTTTGTGTCCAAAACCAAAATGAAACAAAGAACAAAATACTTAAACCATAGCTGAGAGGCTAAGTCCATTTGGATTGTGCTGGCCTTATTAGCAACAGCACCCCGTAGTAGTAATATGAGGTTGATTCTGTCATTTATGCTCAATGAATAAACATAACTAGGCTATATTTCATTCCAGCTAACACTGTATTTGTCAGTTAAACAATTTTTGGTCAAGAATTGCTTTCGTTCCAAGAATGCATTTAGGTTGAAACTATGTGGCACTTAACATAGAAGGTCACTATTTTGTAAAATGCGGGTCCTCCTAGTGTGTGTAACAATTGCCCTGCACCTCTGATAGGAAAGTGTGTACCCATGTGGTGAAGCTGGGTAGCATTTCTCACCTAGAGTTTATTCTTCTGTTGCTGGTAATATGTTGTTCTTTGGTCCAGCTATATCACATGTGTTTCCTTTAATATGTTTTGCTTTTCACACAAAGAAAACGAGCTGGGGATATGGCTTAATGGTAGACCTCTTGCTTTGCATGCACAAGGTCCTGGGCTCAATCCCCAGCACCACACATACAAAAGACAGCTGTCACAGAGTGCTTTCTGTGCTTATGGTCTTAAATAAACCACAGACCTTTAGGTGCATTTTTTTTTTAAAAAAAAAAAAAAGGAAAGCTATATCCTTTGTACTCTGGGGTCTTCTCTCTGCAGGTGGAGCAGTTCTGGAGGTTTTATAGCCACATGGTACGTCCTGGGGACCTGACAGGACACAGTGACTTCCATCTCTTCAAAGAAGGAATTAAACCCATGTGGGAGGTAAGGACTGAGGGCCTCTGCTTTTCGTTTTTCTTTCTTTCTTTTTTTTTTTTTTTTTTTTTTTTTTAATCTTGTGCCAAGATTAAAACTGTTTTAAAAGACATCTTCAAAACTGCAACCCTAAGAGCCAGGCATGGCGCCTGTAATCCCATCACTCATGAGGCTGAGGCAGGAGGATCAGTTTGGAGTTTGAGACCAGCTTGGGCTAAGTGAGCTCAAGGCCAGTCTGAACTGCATGGCAAGACCCTGTTTCAAAAAGACCAAGAACAACCTTAGATAGGTGTTATAGCATACTCCTATAATCCTAGTATTCAGGAGGCTGAGGCAGGATAGTTGCTACAAGTTCTGAAGCTAACCTGAGCTACATAGTGAGTTGAAGCCTAGCCTGAACTGCATAGTGAAATTCTGTCTCCAGAAAAAACAAAACAACAACAACAACAAAAGAAACAACACTGCAACATTATTGGATGTATCCTGGGAACTCATACCCCTAGGGAAAGGCACAAATGCCATTGTGTGTCTGCATTGGTTGGTATTGGGTTGTTTTAATGATGGTGTTACCATTCAAATGGTATTATTCAGCATTAAAGTTTGTTTGGTTTTTTTTTTTTTTAACTGATCTTATCCCTATAAAACTCATCTATGTCTATGTTTAACAATTTTTTTTGTTTTCTTTCTGTATTTTAGGGAAGGGTCTAAAAGGTGTTCAGGATCTCATTACTAGATCGGAATCTCCTTTGTACAGCTTCCCAAGAGCTGGGATTACAGGCACCCGTGCCACCCACGCCCAGTCTCAATCTCAGCGTACCCCAGTGGCGGGGCTGGCATGGCAGGCCTGGGGATCGAACCCCCAGCCCTTGTGCCTGCTTGCAGGTGCTTTAGTCCGCTGAGCTATTTGACTGGCCCTGTGTTGAACAGTTTTAAATAGTGTCTCTGGTGTGAGAAACTGAAAGTGTATATAAGAACTAAACTATATAATAGATATTGTGAAATAAAAAGAAAATGTTCAAATGGAAAGGGGAGCTGGGGAGGGGGAAGGAAGGGAAAAGAAAGAAAAAAATGGAAACAAAGCTTTTGTAAATAGGGAGGGGAAGAGGGGTTGAAAAGAGGGTGGGGGGGTGGGGGAAAAAGCATCAAGATGTATCCTGTACAGGTAAAGATTCCCTGTGATCAGTTTGATTGTTATATATACCTAAACTGCACCAGTAAACTTAATTAAACAAAGGTGGTAACTCGAGACCCAAAGCTCAGCTCTGTGATCTCTTCGCAGAGCCATTGCTGTCACTGCTTCCATGACCCTGCACAGCGCTGGCCTTCCCAGCCTCATTTCTCATCCTCCAAATCCTTCCTTCCTTGTAGTAAGACCCCCTCATGTGTCCCTGCCCTGTAGTTTGTGTACAAACGTGCTCCTCCCAGTGCCTGCATGTCCTCCCACACTGCCCGTCAGCCGCTTCTGTGAGTACTCTGTTAACTCACTGCATGTCTCCCAGCAGCTCTAGTTGGTCTCCATGACTGTCATCACTCTCTTGTCAGTCTCTGCCACTCTGGGTCTGAGTAGAGAGTGGGCTTCTTGACTGTACATATACATGATGACACTCAGTGAACTTTTAACAAATAAAATGATGGTGTCTTTCAGATCTGACATTACTTTTGTTCCTAAAGTAGTTCTGATAAGAGTATTCTTTTAGGAATATCTTTGTAGCCATCTTTTGAAACAGCATGTGCTAAATATGCCTGCTTTTTTTTCTTCCCAGTTTCTTCCTAGTCCTGCTACATTATTTTCTATAAGTTGCATAATCCCAGTATTCAAGAGATTCTTCTTGGCTTTTCACTGTTTTTATGTGAAAGAAGCTGTGAACTGTTATTTGAACTTGAACATTTTCTGTCTTTTTATAGGATGATGCAAATAAAAATGGTGGCAAGTGGATCATTCGGCTGCGGAAGGGCTTGGCCTCCCGGTGCTGGGAGAATCTCATCCTGGCCTTGCTGGGAGAACAGTTCATGGTTGGGGAGGAGATCTGTGGGGCTGTGGTCTCTGTCCGCTTCCAGGTAAGCACCCGGCCAGTCTGTGTTCTTGTGTTGCCCTGCTGTCCTCACTGCCTCTGGTTTGCTTGCTGATGCCTTTGCTCTCCCATAGGAGGACATTATTTCCATATGGAATAAGACTGCCAGTGACCAAGCAACCACAGCCCGAATCCGGGACACACTTCGGCGCGTGCTTAACCTACCTCCCAACACCATTATGGAATACAAAACTCACACCGACAGCATCAAGTACGTGTTGGGGGTGCTGGGGGGGACAGGCCCCTGAACTTAGCAGAAGTAGCTCCGTAGTTGGGCCCAGAGGCGCACGGTTGTCCAGGAGATTGGCTTGTGGAGAGGAGACAGACCAGACGGGCCAGCCCCTCCATGGCTTCTGGCCATGCTGTGCAGGTGTTGTTGGCAAGGCTCCCTGCCTCCCTGCACCATGGGGTGCTTTGGGGCAAAAAGCCCTTCCACAGCAACCCAGTTCCACCACCTGCACTGGCTTCATTTCTGTAGGCTGTCTTGTCTTTCCCACGCTAACCACTACCTAAAACAAAAGGCAAAGCGCTTTTATTTATCTGGCTGGTTTTTTATTTTTAAGATAATTTCACTGAACAATAAAGTCCTCTTCCCTGCCCATCCTTCACCTCCCTCTTGCATGTCTGTTTAACCTGTTAGCTTTAGTCTGTTTTCTTTGTCCTGGGAAATTAACTTCTTAACAGGCCTGATGCCTCCATTTCCTTAGGTGTAGAGCTAAAGTTATAGAGAAGGCAGGGCAGTGTATGAGGGAGGAGAAAAGCTTTGAGAAGGGAAAAGCTTTGAGATTTCCTCAGGACTCAGGCAGCGTAGCTGTCCATCCACACGAAAGTCACTGGCAAGCTTCCTCCTTCAGTGATCAAGGATTGGAAACAAACACAGGTTATGAGGAAGGCTGTGGGAGTCAATGCCAGATTGTTTCCTCTGGCCCCAAATCAGTATGTACCTTCGGCAAGTTCCACTGCAACTCTGCTTCAGATTCCCCAGCTATATACTGGGAACAGTAATGCTTCGCCTACCAGGACTGTGAGGAGGCTGATGTAATCTTTATAACCTAAGGTCCTCAGGGAGAAAGCTCTTAGTGGGCCAAGCATGTTGCTGTCATCACCATCGTTAGTAATATCACCATCATGCGGTTCTTATTAAAGACTAGTGGTGAGCCCAGTGACTGTTCAGCAGCATACCATTTGGGAATCTCTTTCCCATGCATTTGTAGGCGGAGTTTGCTTCTATCAGCTTGGTGCTTGCCAGAATGGCCTGGCATATTGCCACGGGCGTTGGTCTATAATCATGTGGCTGGCTGTGACCATTCTAGCCAACAGCAGTCACTGGCCAGCCCTGGCCCCAGGGCTAACCTTGGCAGCCGGTGTGAGTGCTGTGTTCCTTAGCCACATCTGCCTTACTCTCTGTTCTGGGGCACTGGTAGTTTCCACCCTCCTGCCAAGTTCTGTTCAGGCTGGAAAGACTTGTTTGTAGAATTCTTGTTTCCAAGATTTTCCAGTTTTCCCCTACCCTACAAACCCAAAGCCAACTTCGCATGTAGATAAGAAAGGGAAGGAGGTATTTTTCATCCACTCTCCTCTCAGGGTTTTCCCTTCCTGATCCCCAGAGGTGATTCATCCTGACTATTGTAGAAACATGCACAAAGCCTTCTAGAGTCCAGCAAAGCCTGTGGCCCTTTTCTTAGTCTGACAGAGGGGCTGGCCTGCTGTACTGCCTTCTCCAGAGCATATCTCGGGCTGCAGCCATGAGGCGAGAACACCCTCCTCCAGATCAGACGCCACCTTCCCTCGCGTCCCTCTCTTTCTTCTCCCATTGAGCCACCTTTTGCACTTCCACTAGAATGCCAGGCAGGCTGGGCCCCCAAAGGCTCCTTTTTCCAAACCTCTGGAAGCCGCGGTTGAATGTGCCATGACCCTCTCCCTCTCTGGATGGCACCATCATTGAAGCTGGCATCATCGGAGTCCCTTGTTCTGTTGGTGTGCCTCCTGGAAGACCCTTCTGTGCTGGACAAGAGGAATGGAAGAGCATGTTATGTTTTGAGTACAGGCTGACTCACAGCAGCTACGACCACAGCTGAGATCACAAATAAACGGTGCTAAACTAGCTTGTCTCATGCTCTTGCTGTTTATGGTGCATCAAGATGTGGCCTTTGGACTGACTGTCACCATATTAAGGGATGCAGGGTCATCTGGGGAATGCAGCCTCATTTCGATGAGCCCACCGTGTAGTGTTGTTTGGTACGTGGACCCAGGACTACTGAAGTCTGACGTAATAAGAACATGTAGTTCTCAAAAAGACCCATTCCATGGCACTTGAGTTTAGCTCCTATCTGGTCACATTGATGCCCAGGCCAGAGTGGTTTCTGATTTTGAATTCTGCTTGAAAGTTTGTGAAGGTTGAGAAGGAGGATCCTTGGCCTTCGCTTTGCTGGTTTCTATTTGCCTTTGCCTTTACTTTAGAAAAATCTCTTGCTTAGAGGTAAAGCCCTGCTTCCATCCATGTGTGTCTGCACACATGAAAGCATCCTTGCTTTGTGCTAACAGTGTTTTCACTGGTACCAAAGCCGCCCAGACCCCAAGCTCTTTGTCAGCTTCCTCCCTTCTGCTTTCCTCATAGAGCCAAATCATCTTGTTCTTGGAGGTAGCGTGCGTGCACAACCTCAGAGGTGTAACCCTCCTTCCCACAGCCCAGGCACCTTGATCTTGGGTCGGGTAGGGATGGGCCTTTGTAACTGGACATGCCAGCCTTGCAGCTCTGTGTTTACCACAGCTTGCCCTTTGGTGCTTAATGTGCATGCAGAGCCTCTACAAGCCCCGTTACCTTCTGTTTTCTTAGCAGCCATCCCCGCAAACGAACGGTTATCATTTTTGTACATCTTGGATGGGACTCCTCTGGAGGGTCTGTGGAAGTCCTGTGATGTTGAGTTGTCCACAGCTACAGTGGCACCAGTGCCTGCCCTGCTGTGGCTGACCCCAGGCTCCTAACAGCAACTGAGATTAGCACCTCAGACTCAGCATTGTGGGGGTGTTTGTTGTGTTGTTTCTGTTCACTACATCCCCTAAATTGATTGAAGTACTTAGAAAATGAGCGATTTGCTGGAAAATAGACCCATTCTCTGTTGTTGGCCTCTATCAAAGAATGAGCACCTCGGGCCCTTGCCCTGCCTTCTACTGTCTCATTATGTGCATTGACCTGAACTTCAGCCACAGTGTCTGCCCCACAGGATGAACATGGTGTCACCTTCCGGAGCAAAAGTCAATCATGCAGCACCAGCCTGACCTTGAGCGCCCCCCTCATCCCACCCTGGTCATTGTGAAATTCTACCTTACTCTGTGCCCATGGCCATTCCATAGATATGCCCCTGTTTGAGATTTTTGAGACTTCCAAAACAGTGAAGGCAGAGCCAACAGTGGTCCTGACAAAGACCTCCAGAGGTGAGGACTGCTGAAAGGGTATGATTGGTTCTACCCAGCACTGCGCCTCCAGCTTGCTGTCTCTGTCATTTTGGGTCTTTCACCTGTTTGTCTTCCTAGCATCCCACCGCCATTGCTGTGACCTTTTCCTGCTGTACCCCTGGGTGAGCCCAGAGAGGTCCATCGGCACACAGAAGGGGTGATGGGCTGCTTTGCTGTGGAGGGCTTTGTCCTTGTCTGTGCTTTATCCTCCTGGGAAATGCAGAGCTTGGGAAATGGCAGTTTTGCTTCTGTTGTGGCTTGTTTTAATGAAACGAGATCACACTTGAGTTTTCACTGCTTTGTGTCTTTACAAGTGTCAAGTGACTTTTGTATCTCTGCTTTGAGGAATGACATGACAGCCATAATCAAGGGGCCAGTAGGATAGAGCTGAACACAGGCTATCTAAAACAGCCTATATTGCGAGGAAACCCCTCTGGAATAGTCCTGTAGGTTCCTGTGTGCCTCTGACTTGGAGTGGAGAGGAAGACAGGGCTGCCTTCCCATTATGGACCATGGTGCAGGGCAAGCCTGACTGGCTTTCTCTTCAGTGAGGTGAAGGTAGGGGGCTCCTCCATCATGTCTAGATATCACTGATACACAAGCAAGGTCCAAGGCAGTTCTGAGTGCTCACCAGAATTATTGCTGGCCTGGCTTTTTGTTTTTGAGCTGTACCACCACACTGATCCTCCAAGCCCACGAAGGAAGTAAAGGTTGACAGGAGGCACTGGGCTGGCTGGGTGCATGGCTCTGATCCTTGAGGGTTTAGACTGGTAGAAGACAGTACAGTTACACAGGACTGAGATCTTTCTGCTCTCAGAATTTGCTCCCTGGTAAGTGAGCTGGGGCAAGTGGACTAGAAAAGGTTCTTTGTTACTCTGCCATTGGAATCTGGTTAGAATCTCCTGTAGACTATATTAGTCTCCATTTTTTTCTGTTTTTAGAAACTCCAGTTATAAGACACTACTGGATATACTTAAGTTGTTCTTTCTTACCTTTAAAAAAAGAAAAATTTCAATATTACCTAATCTGTCTGGGATACCAGGATAGAAAATAGCTACTCCACTCATAACTCACTGGCCCATAAAAAGTGACTATACCAAAGGTTTTTGCCAACTTTTATTTCCAGTGAACCGGCAAGAAAATTTCTGAAGCCAGATTCTTCACATTGACTTTTCACGTACAGTAACTATATTTCTGAAGGAACTAGGAGAGCAGTTTAACACTGATGTGGATTTGAGGGACTCTAAAGTCCACTTTAAAGATCTTCACTCAGTAAGCTGCTTGGTGTAGGCTAGTGTATTAGGTATGGGCCTTTTCTGGAATCAAAAAGAGCTCAAGCTTTAATGCAGCTGTATAATTTTTTGTTGAAACCTTGTTTATTGTTTAAGGTAGAACTTAAATTTGTTAGAAAACACGCTTTCCCATGGGCCATTGCCCAAGCCTTGGAGTTTGCTTTGGCCTTGTCTTCATTTGGTGTGCAGAGTGAAATTGCTTTCTAGTGTCACTCCCAGCCTCATGGCGCCTCGTCACCATCTCTCCAGAAAAGTCTGTGGGACATATGTCTCGCTGAGGAGGTTGAGTTTGGGATTGAGAAAGTCTGGCAGTTGTCTTCACATTTTTTCCTCAAGCCAGTTGGCCTGTGCTAGCAGCTTGGGTAATGCTCACAGAAGAAACCGTTGTCTTATAAACAATTACAAATTGTTTATGCTCAAAAGAAGGAAATACTAATGAAAGGGCTGTGAACATTGTTTAGAAAAATGAAGTTGGATTTGTACCGGGCCTCTGAGTAACCCCTCCTTTCTAAAAATTATCAATTTGCAGTGCTGGGGTTATACTCATGGCTGTACACATGATAGGCAAATAAATGCTTTACCACTGAACATCTCCCAGGCCTGCTCCTTTTTTTAAAGGTATGTGTAGAAAGCTTTGAAAGGTATATTTTTGTGGTTATAATATTAAGTATGTCATGAGTGATGTATATTTTCACTCCAGGTGCCATGTTACCAACTTAAACCAAGGATAAAATAATTTAGAAGTGCTAGATTTTATATAAAATCCCCAAGGAACTTAGTGCTTGAGGCCTAAAAAGTTACTAGAGCAGAAAGCGCGAAAGTCAGCTCCTCTGAGAAAACTTGGGGTAGTTGGAGCATCCAGTGCCTAAGGGGACCTCATCTTCGCATGGCCTCCTTTTCCTTCAGTCCCCAAGGCCCTGCTGGTGAACGCTGCCCCTGCAAGCCTCCCTACCCTTCAGTCTCATTTCTCACCCCTTCCTTAGCCCAGTTTCCAAGCTGATTTACTCTGCATGCAAATTGTACTGAGCCTTGTTCCTGCCCTGGCCTCCACAGCTTCACTTGTAGAATTGTTACAGGGGTACTTGAGAAGCAGGTGAAGCCTATCACATTAAGGCCCAACTCGGGAAATGTGAATGCAGAGAAGGTGCGCCTTTGGGCGGCAGCACAGCGCTGCTGGATTCTTGGCTTTGCCTTGGGATGAGGTCTGGTGAGGAAAGTCAGTTTCACCACCTGTTCCCAGAGACCTGCAGCGGAAGAGGGGGAAGTGCTGCTTCCTGTGCTACGGAGAACTGAACATGTTTCTGGGCTTGCAGGCTTGGCCGAGTGTCAGCTCTGACCTCAGCAGCCTCCTGTGGCCTTGCTAAGGGGGTATGATGGCATATCCTCAAGGAAGGCCACAGCATGGGTACACTGGGAACAGGGCCAGCCGCCCACCTGTGTCTGCCCAAGAAGAAAGTGCCAAAGCCTGGCTGCTCTGCCCCACTGCCTTGGCCCCGCGGCCTGGAGGGCATCTGGAGTGGGAGGCGGGTGATGGTGTCTGCTCTCTGTAAAAGCGTTTGATCTGAATGTGCTGTTGTGTTTTTTGTCTCTGGTTTGCCAGGGCCTGGGAGGAGTTTCATGGCCTAGTGAACAGCAGCGGCCGCTGATCGGCGCTCCCCCTCTGTCTCACACTCAGGGTAGGGCCTTGTCTTCCTTCTCTGTAACCCTATGATGTACCTCTCGGCCAGAAGGATCCTTTCCCAAGGGGCCGCCCTTGTCCATTAACCCCAGCCTTGCCTCTGCCAGCATTGCGCCTCCCTGGCCAGTCACACATCTCCTGGTGGACCCTTGGGTCATTTCACCTCATTGTGCATCTCATTCCTGCCTGAAAATGAGGCTCCACAGACCAGCAGGTCTCTGAGATCCCTTCTGCTAACATTTTATAATGGTTAATGCGCTCCAGACTTTTTTCTTCTGGTGGCTCTGATAAAACCATTTTCCTGCCATCTGCCCAAGTTCCATAGGCCCTGATTGAGTTAGGTGAGAGGTATGTCTTGTTTGCTGGTGTTGTCTGTCAGTCGTGAGGAAACAGCGCTGGAAGTTCAGATTTTGAGTAAATGGGAGCAAATGGGGCCGGAGTGGACTTCAGGGCTGTGCGAGAGACAGATGCAGGCTGCACTGCAACTACAGCTAGAGTGTCACAGTTATCTCAGGGAGGGACACAGGAAGGCTGGGGCCACCAACCATTCACCTCAGGGACATCAGAGTTCACGTCTGTCATCTGTGTCTCTGGCAGAGGGAACTGGGTAAGTTTATTTAGAGTGAGAAGGAAGGGTGAAAGGCTGATGTCTATGAGAGTCACAGATGAGGACCTGCTCTGGGACACTAGGCCGCCCCCACTTCCACCTGGCATCCCCTCCCTGAGAAGCAGCATTTCTGAAGTTGGAGTAGGACATGCCAGTTGCTTCCAAAGTCCCCTCTCTGGGAATGAGCTGAGGGTGCTCCAGAGCTCATGCAAACTGGAGAGGCCACTGTGGGACAGAAGCTGGTGCCCAGGGCCCTGAATAATCTATGGTCCCAGTGGGACTTGAGGATGAGCAGTTGCAGGGCTCCTACACATGTGGGCAGTGCCCCTATTTTTTTATTATTTATTTATTTGGTACAGGGTCTCGCTAAGCAACTTGGACTCGTAGTGATCTTGTCTCAGTCTCCCCGGCATTGGGAATACAGGCATGCACCACCACAACCAGTTTCGAGGCCAGCACAGCATGCAGTACCAGGGATCAAACCTGGGTCTTTTCAGTTGCCAGGCAGGTGCTTTACTGCTGAGCTGTCTCCCCAGCCAGTGCCCTGTTTTTATAGTCTGGCTTTGTTACTGTAAAGGCAGTGTTCAAGGTCACAGTTCCAGATTTTGAAAACTTGTAGCTTACAAGTTGACAGAATTTCAAGATGGTTGCTGGTAAATCTGTATCAGCTCCAGGAGTGTGTAAGTTATTCATTCTCCTGCAGGCTAAAATATATCACATACCATGTTAAATTTTCAGAAACATAGTGATGTAATAGAATTTTTTTGTTTGTTTTTTGTTTTGTGGGTTTTTGTTTTTGTTTTTGTTTTATATTTTAGGGAAGGATCTACAGGGTGTTCAGGGTCTTACTACTAGATCAGACTCAGTGATTCTGTTTATAGCCTCCCAAGTGCTGGGATTACAGGTGTGCACCAACATGCCTAGTCTCAATCACTGTCTCAGCACACCCCGGGGGCGGGGCCGGCCCAGCTGGAAGGCCTGTAGAATGCTTTTAATATTACCATTTAAATTTTTGTTTTGTTTTGTTTTGGTGGCTGTCTCAGCCACCCTGGGGGTGGGCTGGCGCGGCATGTGGTGCTGGGGATTGAACTGCGGTCCCTAAGCTTGCCTAAGCAAGTGCTTTAGACTGCTGAGCTATCTCGCCTGCTCAATTGCCATTTTAATTATTTCTCAGGATTTTGTTTTTGCTTAGTATTCTCAAAATTGGGATAAACTGAGTTGATGAGAAAATTTGTCAGTTTATTGACAGTGTGTTTTACTTCTTAGTACATAGGATGGTAGTTCCTTTAAAATTTGAGAGCCAAGGGCTAGCCAGATAGTTCAGTGGACTAAAGTGCTTGCTTAGGCAGAGCCCAGCAGCTGGGGTTCGATCCCCATTGTGGCTTGCTGGCCCCAGAGATGGCCAGGTATAGTGGTACACACCTGTAATCACAGCACTTGGGAGGCTGAGGCAAGAAGATCCTTGGGATTTTGAGGCAGCCTAGGCTACATAGTAGTCCAAGATCAGTTACGGTTACAAGTTATAGCTATAGGCCTGTTAAACTACATATTGAGACCCTGTCTCTCAAAAAAAGAAGCCAACGGGGCATGATGACACACACCTACAGCCCCAGTGCTCAGGAGACTGAGGCAGAGGATTTCTATAAATTCAAGGCCAGCCCTGCCTACCTAGCAAGAACCTGTCTTGATAAAAAATAAAATTGAGAACCAGACATGTATACCTGTAATCCTAGCATTTTTGGGAGGTTAAGGCAGGAGGATTGCAAGTTGGAGCCCAACCTGCATAACAGTGACTTAGCAAGGCCTTGTCTCAAAATAAAAAAAGGACTGGAGATCTAGTTTATTGTAAAGGCCCTAGATTGAATCCCCAGTTTTTGAGCGATGGAAAGGAATGGAGGCATCTCAGTTTCCCTGGAGAAAAATCCTTAAGTTGAAACAGAATGGAAGAAAACTTAAATCCTCATAGCGGACACTAAATACCCCAGGAAAGAATACTTTGAATGCTTTAAAATGTTACACCATAGGGCTGGCCAGATAGCTCAGCAGACTAAAGCACCTGCTTGGGCAGAGCCCCGCGGCTGATCCCTGCCATGCAGTGCCGGCCCCACCCTGGGGCATGCTGAAAGGTGAATGAGACTGAGTCGCACGCCTGTAATCCCAGCACTTAAGAGGCTGAATACAAGAGAATCACTATGAGTCTGATGTAGCAGTGAGACCCTGTAGACCCTGTACTAAATACTTAAAATTAATTTTTTAAAAAACTGACACTACTTCCATAATTGCCATTGTGTAGCCTGTATCTGTTCCATGCTTGATGGCTCAGGTGACCCTGAAGTACAGGCGTGGGATTGTGCAGGGAGCCCATACCACTCACAGTCTGGTCAGACGCACAGATACCTCTGTGTCATCTGCCACGCGATTGTGTGTGGCACTCTAGCTTCCCTCCTTCTCACCCTTTATTTTTTCTCAAGGTAGATCGTGATCCATGAAGAAATTGGTAGAAAAACTACTTAATTCTTAGGCATAGTGGTGCATGCCAATAACTAACTTCAAAGGCTGAGGTAGGAGGATAGAAAGTTGGACCATCCCCTGGACAATTTCATGACACCTTATCTCAGTGTAAAATAGAAAAGGGCCAATATATAGCTTGGTGGTACAGTGTTTGTCTAGAGTGTAGGAGGCCCAAGGTTTAATTCTCAGCAGTCAGTTGATCTATTTTAACATTTCAAATCCTTTTCCTCAAGTTTATTGATGGTGACATTATATTGTTAGTATTTTAAGACTTACTTGACTTCCCTTACAAAGCGGCACTGCCCTTTGACTATGGCTTCAGCCAAAGTCTCAGCACCAAGAACACCTGGCTGGCTGAATGCCTGGGCTGGTAGGCACAAACAGGGATCTGTGTCATTGGGGAGTGCAGCAGTGTGGCCCAAGTGGGAGAACAGCAGTGGAGATTTGCCCTGTGGAACCTAGACAGGGTTTGCAGCTTTATAGAATGTGCACGGAAAAAAAACCAAAACTATGCCCTGTCCAGGCGTTGCTAGCAGCGAGCATCTTCCAGAGCAGCCTTCCCAGCCCGCTTTCAGAGCAGACTCCTCACAGGTGCTCCTGCAGGGCCGTAGAGTAGTCAAAACTCTGGGTGAGGGGGACATTCTTCTCAGGGACAGTCTTGTCTTCTGGTGCCTGCCTTCTGGAATTGACCCCTGCCTTAGCTTGTTATTTCCAGAGGTGGAATTTTCTCTAGAAGTGCAGAAAGGGAGCATGTTGAGTCTGAGTAGGTTAGAAAGCTCTTGCAGGGTGCAGACTCTGTACCCAAGGTACTAGCCAGGTCATGTTAGAAGCGGGTTCAGATGGGCCTCTCATCCATTTTTTTTTCTTTTGTCCCCGCCCTGCTGTTCCCTGAGATGATTTAATTAGTTAATTAGTTTGTTATTTGTCTTTTTGAGACAGGGTCTCACTATACAGTTCAGGCTGGCCCTGAGCTCACTTTGTAGTCCAGGCTGGTCTCGAACTCGAAATGATCCTCCTGCCTCAGCCTCCTGAGTGTTGGTAATCCATGCCCAGCCAGGATTCTCATCCAGAAGAGAGAAAATTCTGTCCTTTTTTCTTTTGCAGTGCTGAGGATTGAACAAGGGTTTCAGTGTATGCTAAGTAAGTGTGTTAGCACTGAGATACACTAACCCTGGTATATATTTCTTTATTATTATTTTTTTAATGCATGGTTGATAGATTAATTGAGATGAGATCTGCTATGTTGCCCAGGCTGACCTTAAGTTTCTGGGCTCACAGGGACCGCAGGTGCATGTTAGCACACCCAGCAAGAGAGAATTCTTTGCCCCACATGTTCTCTTGGGTATAGCCGTGCATTATTCAGAGCATGGCTGGAGGTGAGAAGGCAGCTTTCCAGCACTCACAGTGGATTTCTGAGTTTTAGTTTGCTCTGAAAAGAACAAAAGGCTGGGGAGATGGCTCAGTAGAATAAGCGTTTGCCTGGCAAGCACAAGGGCATGAGTTCAATCCCCGGTTCCGCAAAAAAAAAAAAAAAAGAAAAAGAAAGGGAATGAAAAGAACAAAAGCTTATAAAAAGAAAAAGAAGAAAAGCTTGCCTGTCTACCGTATCCCATAGCAGTCTCTTTCCCTGTGCTGCTCCTCTGGCAGTCTGGAGTGAACACATCCTCCAGTTTGGGGGACATGTGCCTCAATACAAGAGTGTTCTCCCACAGCAAGGTTGGACCATAGCCGTGGCCCTCGTGGCCTGGCACCAGCGGGGGCAGGCCACCCATCCTCCTGCTCTTTGCTCTTCATTCCCTGTTAATTCTGGAAACTCCTGGGGAGATTCTCCTGGCTTTTTTACCTTTCTTCTCTCATTTCCATTTTGCAAGTGGACCTCAGAATTGCAGGACTTCTAGAATGTTTTCAGACTGTAAAGATGACTAATAAGAAAAGAAACGAACAGTTGCTAAATATCTGAGTAACCCATGTGGTAGAAATACGCCTACCACCAAAGAAATCCCCCAAAAACCATCTGTCCCAACCCAGTGTAGTTCAGGAATTCTTCCAGAAGACCAAAGGAATGGGTGGGGATGTAGCTCAGCAGATCCAGTGCTTGTCTGGCAAGCACAAGGCTCAGAACTCAATTCCTGTACCAAAATAATAATAATAATCAAAAAGGAACAAGCTGCCCATGGTAGTAATTGGCCTGAGAACCCCCCAGCAGCCCGCTAAGCTGGTCAGATACTTGCCTACCAGCTCTTAGTGGGACAGAGGATTCCTCCAGGCTTACATTGCTGTGCCTAGTTTACCCTCCTCCTGAGTCCTCAATCGACCAGCTATTCCGGGATCTGTCTTTAGATTTTTACAGGAGCTGAAAGGTTTTTATACCATTGGTACTTTTAAAGAGATGATCGCCATTAACTTTGTATTCAGCCTTCAGTTCTTTAGGTGAAAATGGTTGAAACGCCCAGGGGCAGTAAGGGAGCCACCTGGCTGGGTATGCAGACACCGGAGGCCTTCAGAGCGCATTGCCTCCCCTCCCTTCAGTCCTGTCTGCCTTGTGTCTCCTACAGGGCTCTTGCTCACTGCTAGCTGCCTCTGCCAGCCCTCACAGCAAGCTTTGCTCTGGTTGGGCTGTGGGGGGGGGGTGTTGTTGTTGGGGTGAGGGGTGGTACTGGGAATTGAATCCAGGGCCTTGCACTTGCCAGGCAGGTGCTGAGCTACATCTCCAACCCAGTCTTCAGTGCTTATTTACTCTGGACTCTTTGCTGGGGACTCATTTATAACAATTTTAGGATCTGTCCCTTTCAAATCAAAAGGGAAATACTTGGTGACGTTTATTTATTTAGGTACTAGGAATTGAACGCACAACCTCCCAATTGCCAGGCAGGCACTGTGCTGCTGAGCTATATTCCCAGCCTGGGTAACCTTTAAAAGTATCGCCAGAGAGCTGAGACATTGAGATTTAGGTGATGTGCCCTGCTGAGGCGTTACTGGGCTGCTAGTGTAGCGCCGGAAAGGCTTATATATGAGTGGCTGCCACAGAAGACAAACAAGAGGGCAGGTGTCCTATCCCCAGCTTCTCCTTCAGGAAAAGTGTACCTCCTTCACAGCCACCTTGGCTCATAAGAGGCTCCATTTTTTGTTTGAGGTTTTTGGTTTTTTGGGGGGGATGTTTCTTTTTGAGGCAGGGTCTCACAGTATAGCCCAGGCTTAAACTGGTGAGTCTCCTGCCTCAGACTCCTGAGTGCTGGGATTATAGGTGTGAACCACCACACCGAGCATCAGGTCCATGTTTGAAACTGGATACTGTGGGTGGGTTTGTGCATCAGGTGGTTCAGTGAAGGGTGCCTGCCCAGGGGACGGCCAGCGCTGGTCTGTGCAGCCCCGCTGGTGTTCATGCATGGGGATGTAAACATCTAACCTTACTCCCCACCCAACCCCCACACAAGAACAGCAGCTACTGCATGCACACTTGTTTGGGGGTTGATTTGTTTGGGGAGGTTGAATTTTTGAGACAGGGCCTTGCTGTGTAGTCAGGCTGGCTTTGAACTCACTGTGTAGCTCAGGTTGGCCTCATATAATAATCCTCCTGCCTCAGCCTCCCGGGTGTGCTGATATGCCTGGAGGTGGGCCCGCTGCTCTGCTTTTTAGGTTATCAATCTTGGTGAGCTTTCCACATTAGTAGAAAACTTTTATCTTTTTTCAAGCTGCATAGTGTTACATTGTTTGACTGTTTCGCATTAATATTTAACCAGGCCCTTTGGTCTCTACTGAGGTGGCGACCTGTCACCGGAGTGAAGTGCTGGCCGGCCCGGGAGGCAGTTGTTTGGATTAGGCTGGCGGGGAAGGAGGTCCTGGGGTGTGGGAGCGGGTGTGTGTGTGTGTGTGGGTGGGTGGGTGTGTGTGCGCCCAGCAGCCAATGCACTGAGCTGTGTTTTCTCCCATTTTCTCCTCCAGGGACAATTCAAGTTTTCGAAATACAAAGATCACGTTGTGAAAGTACATGAGCTGGCAATAATCCTTTTCTGTATGTGTGTTTGTCCGGGATGGATGGGAGGCCTTCCGACAGCCCTTCCGCCTGCTCCCGGAAGGGACATCCTGAGCCGCGCCCCTTTGCACTTGTTCCTGGAGGACTGCTGCAGCCGATGCCCTCCCACCGCGGGCTTTGGAAAGCGAAAGGAGGAAGCCGTGACTTCGTGACAGTTTGCTGCCCACCTGCGTGCCCGAGCACAGCCATGGGCGCGCGTGGAGCCGGCCAAGTTATCAGTATTACGGTGCCCGTGCAGCCGGGCCACACGCTGCTGCTGAGCCGAGGACCCAGGGCCTCTCTGGCTCCGCCGAGTGCTCCCTCCCCAGCCGCCACTCTGAAAATGTTACTGGTGCGGTGGCTGCCTACACGCAGTGTTCTCCTGCCTCGCCTCAGCTTCCCTCCTACAGGCTCCACCTTCTCAGGCCCTGGCGCATTTGGAACTGGAATCGGTGGGATGTGTGGTTTGCCTTGGTGAGGAGCCCGAGCAGAGCCAGCCTGTTGTGGAGCGAGGCTGTGACGCAGATCCAGGGGTCGGATGGGAGCCATTGTCCCGTCCCGTGTGATCTGGGCCTGTGTGCCAAGCCTTAGTGAAGAGAGAGGACAGCTGGTGCTTGCCAGCTGCTAACACTTAGCTTGTGAATTCAGCTGGGACAGCTAGAAGGGGCTTGATGGACGGCTGTGCCTGTCTCCCGTGGGCAGGAAACCCCGCCCTGACTCTCATCTCTCGCCATGTGTGCTGATCGCTGGTGCCCAGAGACCCGGAAGGCTCCCGCCAGCAGGCTTGCAGAGACCAGTCCTTCAGAGAAGCTGGGGACTCTGGCCCCAGAAGTACTGATTGGAAAGCACCTGGGTTCCAGAAAGTGATGAGCAGCTGCCTCCAACAGCCTCCAGGTGGCGCCCACGAGCAGGACCGTGGGACCTTCCATTGCGGTCTGTCGTTGGAATAAACCTAGGTCGGTCGGTGGGAGTCTTTGCCCCTGGCGCCCGTGTGTGATGGGATCCTAAAGCAGCAGGCGTCCCTGCTGCATGTGCTTCAGCCTCTGCCAGCTTCCCAGCTCCGGAACTGTTTGGGGCGCTTTTTTTGAAAGAATCTTGAGTGGGAGGGAGGCGCTTCCGTCTCAGGGGAGCTCAGGCTGGAGAAGACAGCGCCTACTGGACCCCCAGAAGAGGAGCCTGCGCGGTGTGCAGACGGCTGTGGAGGAGGAACAGAAGCGGTGGTGACCGTGGGGTGTGAATGGACCCCAGGAGGGCTTCACTTTTCTCTGGTCTCCAATTGCTGGAAAATTCCAAAGAGAGCAGACATTTAGATTTGCCTTCCTTTGGGCATCTACCTGACTGGGTGTGTGTGCGTGTGTGTGTGTGTGTGTGTGTGTGTGTGTGTGTATTCAGCACATTTATGAGTGAGGATTTGTAGGGCCTAGTGGTTGGTTAGGTGTAGTGTCCATAGTTTTTCCTTTTTTTTTCTACTGAGCTATCTTCCTGGCTCAGTTTTTCTTTTTTCTTTTCTTTTCTTTTTTTTTCTTCTTTTTTTTTTCTTTTTGGTCTCATTTGTTCCCATTTTTTAATCGCTGATGTTTTCTAGAGCTGTTCCAGTTGCCCCTTCCTCCAGGTCAGTGTTTGACAGTTTTTTGTCAGAAACACGCTGGCCCTGTGCCTGTGAGGAGCACGGGTTGTCCTGTTGCAGTGTCCTGCCCCATAGCTGTGTGAGCTGAGTCTGGCGCAGACCAGACCACACATTGTTTGCAGACCAGCCTGAGCCATCTCTTGGCCTGTGATGCGCCATTGTGTGACCATCATAGTCCCTGTCACTGGCTCTAGAGGCAGTGGCCCAAGGCTTGCAGGTGGGCGGGAGTGCGGGCCCAACTGCAGAAGCGGGGCTCGCTTCGCTGCTCTCCCGTCTTCCCCGGAGTTTTCCCTCTAGTTATTCCTCCAGTCCGCACATGCCTTTCTGGGTGTGCCTTCCCCGGGACCCTGGTAGTGGCAGTAGTTTCCCACCCAGACGAAGGCTTATGGTCCGTGGTGCTCTGAGGATGAATTTCCAAGGATGGGACAGTGGAGGGGGCAGAGCGGGGCTGTGAGGCATTGCACTTTCCAAGCGACTGTCGACTGCGGTAATAAATGGAAAATAGCAAGGTGGGCTGCGGCTGTGTCAGCTCTTGGGGACGGCCGGGGTCTGGGCTCAGCACAGGAGACCCGAGCACATGGACAGGGATTCCTTAGATACTTTAAAAAAAAAATTTTTTTTTTTTTGAAACTATTTCTAATAGGCATTAATCATCACTATAAGTCAGTTTACCTTTTAGATGTCAAAATATTGCTATTAATTCACCTTACCTGTGATTAGAATATTGAAATAGAAGTGTGTTCAAAGGATTGGAGATGGAAACTCTAGGCCTTGGCGTGCATGGCTAACATTAAGTAGCTATGCCAAAGCCAGCTGAGAGTCTGTACCCACTGGAAAGAGCAAAAGGGACAGCTGAGCCCCAGGTACTCCCATGACTGTCATGGAGTCCTAGGAAAACAGAGGAAAGCTTTGTATCAGGTTAGGAAGTCCAGGCCGAGGTGTGTTGGCCCCACGCCCTGTGCCTCTGTAAGGTGGCACATGATAGAGGTGTGTGATGGTGGAGCCTGCTGCACTAGCAAACAAAGGGAATCAAGAAGAGCTGGGGTCCCAGTGTTCCTTTCAAGGGCCCCCTTATCATGACCACCAGGCTGCACCCGCTAAAGAGGGCATCCTCAGCCACCCTCACAGGGTGGAAAGACACCTTTAGCACACAGGCCTTAGAAGGGCACTTAGGATCCAAGCTGTGCGGCCCTGCCCTGTGACCCCAGCATTCTGGGAGGCTGAGGCAGGAGGATCAGAATTTCAGGCCTAGCAAGGCATGGTAGTACATGCCCTGTAATCTCAGCACTCTGAAGGCTGAGGCAAGAAGGTCACTGACTTGGAAGCCAGCCTGGGCTACAGAATGAGTTGAAGGCCAGTGTGCTCTACATGGTGAGACCCTGTCTCAAAACAAAACAGTGGGGTAGAGCAGGAGACAGAACTTGGTGATTGCTACAGTCCTGGTCAGCTGCAGGCCTCATGCCATTTACACAGGGCGCTCTTCAGACCACCAAGAAAGCTCTTTCCCCTCATCGTGCTGCAGGCCATTGTGAAACTCTCACCGCCTCCTGAAAATGAGTGAGTTAGTCTGGTCCATGCTGATTCCTCTAGTTTACCCATAATTCCATCTGAACAGAACATGTGATGGCAGAAAGACAAGGGTCAAATGAACTTCCAGCAAAAACTACATGAAATAATTAGAGACGAAAGTTGGAGCCTAGGTAGCGGCACACAATTGTAATAGCAGCACTCAGGTGGCTGAGGCAGGAGGGTCAGGGATTTTAGGCCAGCCTGGGCTATATAGCAAGTTAGACTGGCTTGGGCTATAGATAGACCCTGTCTCAAAAATCCAAAAACAAGGCATAGAGGCACATACCTATACACACAGCTGCTTGAGATGGTGAAACAAGGATCACAAGTTCAAGCCCAACCTGGGCAACTTGGCAATTTAGCCAGACTCAAAATTTTAAAAAGAGTGGGTATATGGGTCAGTGCAGAGGTCCTGGGTTCAAACCCTGCCTCATAGCACAGAGAAAGGCATCATACCTTTTTCAGAATTTGCAAGACAACGCCAAAACCATTTGAGCATGAAATAATGACAGTAAATGCCCATAAATCCATACATACTTTTTTTTTTTTTTTTTTTTTTTTTTTGTACCAGGGGTCAAACTCAGAACCTTTTGCTTGCCAAGAAAGCACACATGCCACTGAGCTATCTCCCTAGATAAACCCCCACAAAAGAGACCAAGTGTGAAGGAACAAGGAAGCTTTTCTTTTGAGCTCACAACCAATCAATGCCCTGAATTTGGCTCAGAACTCCCAAAGTTGTTGGTACCCCCATGAACTTTGCTTTCAGGCTATATACTTTCAGATTTCTGTAGTAACTATATTACCTCTTTCAGGAATTTTACAAGAATGTCACAAAATTACCACGAGGTTTACATTTCCCAGGCACTGTTGACCTGCCTGTCATGGGGCAGTATGGTTTAATGTTATGTGTTTACAGTTGGCTACATGGAAGGGGGTGAGGGAGTGAATTGAACTGAAGTGCCCCTCCCTTAGAATGGAGTTGCTTTTGTTCCATCATAAATACATAAAGAACAAGAGATAGCCATTCCTCCCAGAATTCCAAATCTAGAAGGAATGCAGGAAATAGCATAGAAATCACCACTAGAACACCATACCAACCAGTGTCATAGTCAAGACTGATAATAAAACCAGCAAAACTTTGGAGAGCTGGGTGTGGTGGCATACCCGTGTCACCCCAGTCCTTGGGAAGCTGAGGCAGGAGTGCTATGAGTCTGAGACCACCTGTCTCAATTCAAAGGAAAGAATTTTGGATTGAACAAATAATTCCTTTTTTTTTTTTTTTTTTTCTTTTTTTTTTTTTTTTTTTTTTTTTTTGCGGAACCAGGGATTGAACTCCAGCCCTTGTGCTTGCCAGGCACTTACACTACTGAGCCATCTCCCTGGCCCCCTCAAAAGAGAAAATTTTAAGGAAAAATAAGGTATTTGCCAAAGCCTCAAGTATCTCCCCAAATAGTACTTAATTATAACAATTGTTCTCATGTGTGTCCACAAATGTGTGACTTGGTGACTAGTAAATGAGAAGAAGAAGGGATCAGCAGAAGAGCTGCCAGAAACCAGCTGACGCAGCGCTCAGGGCCAGCATTCGCAGGGAGGCCCACAGCACTGAGCTCAGAGGAGCCCATGGAAGCCACGCCACAGCTGGCTGGCTGCAACCCTGGGTCCCTGAGGGGTGCTGCCCACAAGTACGCGCCTGCACCAGGCAGACAGGGAGGACTCATGCCCATCACCGATCGCTGGGCCAGAGGAGCCCTAGCCGTATCCCTGGGAGTCTAAAGCCAAGGCTTAGGTCTAGCCACAGACTGTGTCCCACCCAGAGGTCATGAGCCCTGCCCTCAGGAGTAGATCAGCAGGTGGCTCCTGGCAGTACAGTGGTAGAGGCTCAGCAACCACCCCAAACTGTGAAATAGACCCTTGCAGTGGTTGCTGGCGCTGTGATAACTGTTATGGGTACTCAAACAGAAGCCGGACGAGTCCAGATTGAGAACTTAAGAACCTTTATTACTGAGGTCAGGGCCGCAAGTCATTTCTCACGCAGGAGAAGACTGATGGACCCCTAGCCTAGGAAGCAAGGGGCTTTTAAAATGAAAGGCACATGACTAAGCAGGCTTTTTTTTTTTTTTTTGGGGGGGGGGGAACCAGGGATTGAACTCAGACCCTTGCGCTTGCCAGGGAAGCACTTATGCCACCGAGCCATCTCCCCAACTCAGCGGGCTTTTACATTTTATTAGCGATATGCACAACTTGCCCATGTGGAGGCTTGTTGAGCAAGCCCGTTTTTACAAGACAGGAATTAGATTAGGGAGGGGAGGGAAACAGTTACTCCCCTGAATAGAGGGTGGGTACACATTCTTTAGGTAGCTGAAAGCACAAAGTTCACAGTTGCAGCACACAATTTCGTTAACCCACTATAGTGACCAGCACCTGAGCTCCTGCCTTGCCAATGGGCAGCAGCTCTGTTCAGCCCACCAGCCTGTCAGCCAACAACCTGAATCGCACTGAGCCGGCAGGTGCTGTTGGGCCCAGCTCAGGCCAGTGGGGAAGCCCAGCCTGGCACAGAGGGAAGGTGATCCAACTGATGATAAGGGACACTTCTGTGAACCCCGGTCACAAAAGCCATGTGTGGGCCAGAGGGGATCCCTACCCACATGACCTTGGCCAGGTATAAACCATGTAAGAAAACTGGGGTGCCAGCTTGTGGAAATGGACCCCAGAAATGTGCAGTCCTCAAAGGACCATGTTAACCCTGAGAAGGGAGCCACAGTCTGCTTTGCCCTCTCAGGGCCACATTGGGGGCGCTGGAGTTCTACATGAGGTGGGTGGCTAGAATCTAAGATGAAGGGGACCCTGGGCATGGTAGAACGTGCCTGTGCCTGTAATCCCTGCACTCAGGAGGCTGAGGCAGGAGTATAGCCTCAAGCAAGAGGAACAGCAGGCAGCATGTCTGAGAGGCAGCTTTAGGGCCAAGATGCACTTCCTGACCCTTTGAGCAGCTAAAGCCCGAGGCTGCTGAGTGAACACGGAGGCCGAAAGGCACCCACCCACCTGTACGAGGTGATGGCCGCAGCAGAGGCAAGGGAGGCCAGAGGGGCCCCCGGGACACGGAGGTGTCTGATGGGATGGGGAATCAGCTTGGCAACAGCAGCAACCCCGCCCTGCCAGTTTGGCCAGGAAGGTGCTCCATGCCCGGGTGCTGAGCCCCTGGCTCCTGGGAAACCATGCCTATAGAAGGCTGGGGCCCTAGGGCCTGTGCCACACAGGACAGCTGCCATGAAGGGGTGGCACCGAAGTCCCCACAAGGCACGCCGGAAATTCTCTGGTCTC